ACGTTTGGAATAATTTTGGTAATTAAGCATTATGTTTAATTAAAGATTAAACATTAAAGAGGTGATTAATAATTAATTAATCACGTAATTACTCACAAGATTGAGTTCAAGTCGTGTGGTATTGCTCCAAACTTATTTAATTGCCGTAAGTTTTGTTCCTTAAATCAAAGGAGTGGTGTCTTCATTTTTGGGTCTCATACGTGGCATCATTTTAAATTAATAGGTGATTTGTCACCTAAGAGGATTTAGTGATGCTACAAGTGTCATTAAGGGGAGTTAGCCACCAAGTTCTTATGTTTGTTTCCTCTCGGCGCCATGGCTATATAAAAAGGAATGTTTGGAAATTTTTCCCATCTTTCCTACATATAGCTAAGTTTCCCATAGATTATACATTCATGCTAGAGAGTAAGTGAGGCAGGAGTTCATTACCATAGTACCATTAGCCGAGAGTATCGCACGTCGCACTGCAAGTAGCAGCAGTCCGCACGGCACTCTGTCGCACGCACACACCGCACGCACGCAAGCGGAAGGTCACGGCCGAGCACGGGAATCCGAGGAGTGTTGTCACTCGAGCTTAATCGGAGGTAAATTCCCGGTGGTTGTAGGCTGAGATTATCATGTTTATTAAGTTCAGTTTTCCGTTTAGGCGTTCATGAGTGTTATATGTTGTTAAGGCCGTGCGATAAGCCGTGCCGAGTCATGTCCTGTTCAAGTTGAAATTCTCCGAACAAATCTTCGTATGTTTAGCCTTTATATGTAACATCATGTTCAGATAAGCTTAACTGTTCGGTGAATTATTCATGTTATTCGATATTTCGACCAAGGTGATGTGGTTGTGCACGTAGCGCACCACGGGCCGTGTGAGTGTCAAGTATGTTAAGTTCATTTTCCTTGAGCACCTTATGTGATTTTATTCAGTAAATCATTGATCATGTCCAGTTATGTTTGATTTGCCGAGAGAAAAATGAGTTTCGGTCGTAAAACGGCTTAACGCCGTCGGCAGCACACGGTGCGTCCACCGCGGCCAAGTTCTGTTCATTGAGTTAAAGTTTATGTTTTCAGTATGAAATCAGTTCTTATGTTCATGTTATGTCATTTAAAGTCAGATTATTCATGAGTTGTTGCCGGACGCCGGCAAGGGCCGGCCGTGGCTGCGCTGTCCGCACATAGCGGCAGCAGCGCGCCCGGCAGCCAACCGCGTGACTGGCAGCG